TCGTTCGCAATGGCGCCGGTGTATTTATTCTCTGTGTTCTCTCAAATCCTACGTCTACGTCTACGAATTCCTTCATTCTGTTTACACAACAAATATAAGACATGCAAATCGATTTCATCATTGAATATGTTCACAGAATTGACATCTCTTGTTTGCAAATTATAGTTTCGTTTCTCTCTCTCTCTCTCTCTCTCTCTCTCTCTTTCTCTCTCTCATGTTTATACTACCATAAAAACTTGGCAGTAGATTGACCTTCATCATCTAGTTGATTTTTATTAGTTTTTAAAATATAAAAATTTTCTAACAATTATTTTTTGTGTGTAATCAGTTTTAGTTAGCTCACAATATGAAATATGAAACTAGCTTATTCATTTTATTGATATGTTAAAATGTTAGTTTTCAATATTATTTTGTTCATACTATCATCAATTTTAATTAGTTCTAATAAAAGCAAAAGGTGATGAAAATGTCTTAGAAGAATGTGTTTCATTGATCTATAATCTGAATGGATTATATACAAGTAAGATTTGAGTAAGATTGAAATAAACATATTAACAAATGAACTTATACTATCTACTTTTAATTGTCCTACTTGGTGAAGATGCTGACAAAATGTAGAGTCTTCTGACCAACCTAAGCAACAATGCAAGCATGTTCGGGATGCGGTTCTCAGCCTCGAAATGCAAAATGTTGCTTCAAGATTGGGTTGCATCGGCACCTGAACTAGTGATACGGAGTGAAGTAGTCGAACGTGTAGACCGCTTCACTTATCTGGGGAGTCTCATCAGCGCCGATGGACTGGTGACTGACGAGTTCACAGCACGGATACAGAAGGCTCGATTGGCTTTTGCCAACCTGCGTCACTCATGGCGAAGGCGAGATATCCGTTTGCTGACTAAAGGACGAGTGCACTGTGTAGTAGTGTAGTTCGCTCCGTCTTAATTTATGGCTGTGAAACATGGCCAGTCAGAGTAGAAGACATTCGTAAGTTATTGGTTTTCGATCACAGGTGTCTTCGAAGCATTGATCGTATATCCTGGGACACCCGAGTAAGCAACACTGATATTAGGAAACGGGTGCTAGGTAAGAATGGCAGATCAGTGGATGAAGTAATGAAACTTCATCATTTGAGGTGGTTGGGACATGTGCTGTGTATGCCTAACCACCCACTGCCTCGACGAGCTTTGTTTTGTAGTGTAGGAATAGGTTGGAAGAAAGTAAGGGGCGGCCAGACCAAAACATGTCAGAAATCCATGAAGTCACTGAAAAGTCGACTGAGTCATGTTGGTAGATGTAGACTACCTGGTTTGGGTCCGCGAGATGATAATAATCGATGGTTAGAGACCTTGAATGACACGGCTCAAAATCGTTTGCAATGGCACCGGTGAATTTATGCTTCGTGTTCTCTCAAATCCTAATCTTCTGCGTTCTTCAACCACCCTAGTTTTGACTTTCTAAACTTTTCTCACTGAATCATACTTCTTGAATAATATCTTCTAATCCTAACCTTTTCGATTACTTCTAATACCTTTACTACCTCTACTACTATTAGATTTAAATGGACAATTACATCTCTGTGTGCTGATGTGGTATGGCAACATGAACTGATGTACTTACGTACAAAGTTCTACGTTGCATCTGACTGACTGACTGACTCTGATTCTCACATATGGAACTTTTCTTACTTAATGAATCATTGTAATCATTTAGATTTTGCTGGGTTTTTTTACGTACAAGCAATGAAATTGACACATCCCAATTTGGATGATGTCAATATGAACAATTTAGGCTGATAAAGTATATATTTATCGAATTGAGGTTTACGGAAGAGAAGTCAGTGATAATTGCAGACTATATTTATAAATAGAACAGAAAAATTATTTTTTTTGGTTAATTCATCACTCGTTACAGTTAAAAAATAAAAAGAGTTAATTGTTAGTTAGTTAGTTAGTTACTTAATTGATAATGTTACGCATGACACTGTTATTAATATAATATGTTTGGTATTTCATGTTTTGTTTCGGCAACATCTGTAAGAAAATATATGTGCAAATTCATGAAATTCATTGCGATGGCAAAAAAGTATACATGACGATATCTCTGTTAAATAAATAATATACTTGACGTAAAACTATATATATATGTGTGATCATTTCTAATTTGATCAAGTTAGTGGACATTAACACCGTTAGATACCAGCTCAGTGGTCTAACGGTTAGGGCGTTCGCGCACAATACCGAAGGTCCTGGATTCGAATCCTGCGGGGTGCAGGAGTCGTAGATGCGCACTACCACTGACGAGTAGTCCCATAGCAGGACGAAACGGCCGTCTTTCAGGGCTCCCAGGATTCTAATGGTGACGGTCTACCATTGATTGATTCATGGTTACAAATAAATAAAGTACAATTAGCAATATGTTTATAATCATGTTATTTCTGTGTAAATGGAAGACAGTAAAAACTCTGAATCTATTATCAATGAAAATTGAAATTATCTCTGTTGTTATGGAATTCCTTCTATGGTTTATTTTTTACAAACAGCTAGTTTAACTATTCCAAATTATCTTACGATTTTCAAGCTATTTAAATGTTCTGAACTTGTTGTTCATTTATCTGTAACACATTCTTATCAAACTGATTATAACTACCTATGAACCTGTTTGAATCGTACCATTAAACAGTGCACAGTGAAAATCACTCTAATTGTCCACGTTTAATGAATTCATTCATGAAACCGACCACTTCTATTATCATTTTATTTTATTTCTTCTTTGTCCTAAACATATAATTCTAGGCCTGAGACATCCGAGTGAGCAACGCTGTTATTAGGAAACGGGTGCTAGGTAAGAATGGCAGATCAGTAGATGAAGTAATAAAACTTCATCAGTTGAGGTGGTTGGGACATGTGCTGTGTATGCCTAACCACCCACTGCCTCGACGAGCCTTGTTTTGTAGTGTAGGAATAGGTTGGAAAAAAGTTAGGTGCAGCCAAACCAAAACATTGCAGAAATCCATGAAGTCATTGACGAGTGGACTTAGCCATGTTGGTAATTGTCGACTACCCGGTTGAGGTCCGCGAGATGATAATAATCGATGGTTAGCTCAAAATCGTTCGCAATGGCGCCGGTGCATTTATTCTCTGTGTTCTCTCAAATCCTACGTCTACGTCTACGAAGTCCTTCATTCTGTTTACACAACAAATATAAGACATGCAAATCGATTTCATCATTGAATATGTTCACAGAATTGACATCTCTTGTTTGCAACTCATAGTTTCGTTTCTCTCTCTCTCTCTCTCTTTCTCTCTCTCATGTATATACTACCATAAAAACTTGTCAGTAGATTGACTTTCATCATCTGGTTGATTTTTATTAGTTTTTAAAATATAAAAATTTTCTAACAATTATTTTTTGTGTGTAATCAGTTTTAGTTAGCTCACAATATGAAATATGAAACTAGCTTATTCATTTTATTGATATGTTAAAATGTTAGTTTTCAATATTATTTTGTTCATACTATCATCAATTTTAATTAGTTCTAATAAAAGCAAAAGGTGATGAAAATGTCTTAGAAGAATGTGTTTCATTGATCTATAATCTGAATGAATTATATACAAGTAAGATTTGAGTAAGATTGAAATAAACATATTAACAAATGAACTTATACTATCTACTTTTGAATGTCCTACTTGATGAAGATGCTGACAAAATGTAGAGTCTTCTGACCAACCTAAGCAACAATGCAAGCATGTTCGGGATGCGGTTCTCACCCTCGAAATGCAAAATGTTGCTTCAAGATTGGGTTGCATCGGCACCTGAACTAGTGATACGGAGTGAAGTAGTCGAACGTGTAGACCGCTTCACTTATCTGGGGAGTCTCATCAGCGCCGATGGACTGGTGACTGACGAGTTCACAGCACGGATACAGAAGGCTCGATTGGCTTTTGCCAACCTGCGTCACTCATGGCGAAGGCGAGATATCCGTTTGCTGACTAAAGGACGAGTGCACTGTGTAGTAGTGTAGTTCGCTCCGTCTTAATTTATGGCTGTGAAACATGGCCAGTCAGAGTAGAAGACATTCGTAAGTTATTGGTTTTCGATCACAGGTGTCTTCGAAGCATTGATCGTATATCCTGGGACACCCGAGTAAGCAACACTGATATTAGGAAACGGGTGCTAGGTAAGAATGGCAGATCAGTGGATGAAGTAATGAAACTTCATCATTTGAGGTGGTTGGGTCATGTGCTGTGTATGCCTAACCACCCACTGCCTCGACGAGCTTTGTTTTGTAGTGTAGGAATAGGTTGGAAGAAAGTAAGGGGCGGCCAAACCAAAACATGGCAGAAATCCATGAAGTCATTGACTAGTGGACTGAGCCATGTCGGTAATTGTCGACTACCTGGTTGGGGTCCGCAAGATGATAATAATCGATGGTTAGAGACCTTGAATGACACGGCTCAAAATCGTTTGCAATGGCACCGGTGAATTTATGCTTCGTGTTCTCTCAAAACCTAATATTCTGGGTTCTTCAACCCCTCTAGTTTTGACTTTCTAAACTTTTCTCACTGAATCATACTTCTTGAATAATATCTTCTAATCCTAACCTTTTCGATTACTTCTAATATCTTTACTACCTCTACTACTATTAGATTTAAATTGACAATTACATCTCTGTGTGCTGATGTGGTATGGCTACATGAACTGATGTACTTACGTACAAAGTTCTACGTTGCATCTGACTGACTGACTGACTGACTGACTGTGATTCTCGCAAATGGAACTCTTCCTACTTAGTAAATCATTGTAATCATGCAGATTTTATTGGTTTTTTTTTACGTACAAGCAATGAAATTGACACATCCCAATTTGGATGATGTCAATATGAACAATTTAGGCTGATAAAATATATATTTATCGAATTGACATTCCGGAAGAGAAGTCAGTGATAATTGCAGATTATATTTATAAATAGAACAGAAAAAATATTTTTTTTTGGTTAATTCATCACTCGTTACAGTTAAAAAATAAAAAGAGTTAATTGTTAGTTAGTTAGTTAGTTACTTAATTGATAATGTTACGCATGACACTGTTATTAATATAATATGTTTGGTATTTCATGTTTTGTTTCGGCATCATCTGTAAGAAAATATATGTGCAAATTCATGAAATTCATTGCGATGGCAAAAAAGTATACATGACGATATTTCTGTTAAATAAATAATATACTTGACGTAAAAATATATATATATGTGTGATCACTTCTAATTTGATCAAGTTAGTGGACATTAACACCGTTAGATACCGGCTCATTGGTCTAACGGTTAGGGCGTTCGCGCACAATACCGAAGGTCGTGGGTTCGAACCTTGCGGGGTGCAGTAGTCGTGGATTCGCATTCCAGGACGAAACGGCCTTCCTGCAGTGCTTCCAGGTTTCTAATGGTGATGGTCTAACATTGATCGATTCATGGTTTCAATAAAACTTAACAATCTTCACAACCCCGTAATACAAATCACCTGTGGTCACTAGTGACGACGACTAGCTTGGTGAGGAATCTTCTCCAAGTTCTAGTGGGAAGACGTGACCAGTAAAGTTCTACCTGTTCGTGTGTAGACAGTAACTACCGAAAACTGGGTATGACGTTGCGCAACTCCGTGAATTGACCAAGTTAGACATTAATACCGTTAGATATCTGCTAAGTGGTCTAACGGTTAGGGCGTTCGCGCACAATACCGAAGGTCGTGGGTTCGAACCTTGCGGGGTGCAGGAGTCGTGGATGCGCACTACCATTGAGGAGTCCCATACCAGGACGAAACGGCCGTCTTTCAGTGCTTCCAGGTTTCTAATGGTAATGGTCTAACATTGATCGATTCATGGTTTCAAAAAAAATGTGTAACTTAACAATCTTCACAACAAACCCGTAATGCATTCTATTTAAATTGTATCATTGTAAATACTGTGAAATGTAATAGACCAGTAGCGAAGCTGTATGTTTATAGTTTCAAAGAATGAGTAAAAAGTCGACATTCTGACGATTTTATGACAACACGCATATCACTTCTATCATTGTAAGCAGACAAGCTAGTCCGACAAATACTTATACGTTTTAAATGATAAAATCCGAAACAAATATAGAGAGATTTAATAGTAGTAAAACAATGTCATGTTACACATTCAACCCTTAAAGTGTTTGTTACTAGGATATGTATAAAGTGAACAATAGATTAGTAAAGTTTGATTTGAAGTATTTAAATGAAAACGGAATCATTATTTGCAGAACTACAGTTCTACGCGATTAATAAGGGGTTATTTTGCTGAGCTTAGTAGGAATAATTCTGTATCGCACAATTTTGAATTTTTTTCCCCAGAGATAATTAATTTGTACATGAAATATGAAACATATATTGATAAATTTTGTCAGATAAACAATTACATTACTTACATGTTGAAATTTTTTTCATTATTGAATCATACATCTTTTGTAGTATTTGATTCTCAGCTATATAGGTTGTGAATGAACAATGGAATTATTATTATTATTATTATTGATTGACATATGCTTTTGATCAGTTTCTCATTTTTATTTTAACATAATTGCCGTTAACATACTTACCGTTGTAATAATTATATCTTTCCCGATGTTTCACCAACTTGGAAATGCTATTTCTCAGTTGACGAAAACCTATAAATTAATCAAATGACAATGATTTGTATTGAAGCATGTATAAAAGCATGAAAATCACACGCAACCTATCACAAATACCTTCAATTATATTTATTTTTTAAAAATTTAAAAAAATAAAGGTAGGTTTAGACTTTTTTTTTTTTATCAAATTATTGTGTTGAAAAAAAAATATGGAGATTGTCTACTTATAATCAGGATTTCAAAGTTGAGATATTCTACTTTTTTGAGTATATGACAGTCAATAAGCTATGGAGTTAACTTGTAAAATCTGTTTAATGACGGAATGATAAGTCAAATAAATGAATTTTTAGTTTATGATTATTATTGGTTAGCTTCAACCACTTGTTTGACTCTCAATTTCACCAAAACAAATTGATTTATGATAATGACGAATCGTAATAATTTCCAATTAGAGTTACGGAGATTAATGTTTTTTTACACATTTGAAATCAACGATCAATCATTGTTGTTAGACCATCATTAGAAATCTGGAAGCACTGGACGACCGTTTCGTCCTGGCATAGGACTCATCCACAACCCTTACACCTCACAGGATTCGGACGCGGGATATCATAAAATGTGCTCACTAGTGACTAGCTTTGTGAAGAAAATTTTTCGAAGTTCTAGTGTGAAGACGTGACCAGTGGAGTTCAACCCTGTCAGGTGTAGGAAGTAACCACCAAAGACAAATGGGTGAGATCGTGCAAAAAATCCCTAGATCAATCATAGTTAGACATTAACACTGTTGGATGCCGTCCCAGTGATCCAGAAGTAAGGAGTTCTTGCACAAGACCGAAGCTCTCGGGTTTTAGTCCTACAAGGTGCAGGAATCGCGGATGCACACTGCTACTGATGAGTCCCATACAAGGACGAAACGACCTTCCAGTGCTTTCAGGTTTCTAATGGTGGTCAAACAATGATTGATTGATGATTTGGAATGTGTGAAAACACAAAAACTAATAATGAGAGGCATGAACATTATCCATATAGGTTTTAATAAGTTACAGTTAATAAAATCTATCATTTGCATAAACTTACCTATGGGTTTAGATTTTGAATAGTCATCACATTGTTGTAGAGTGTTTGCCAAAAGCGTATCTGTGAAAAAACATAGAAATTAAAATAATAAACTCAAATACATTTCAATAGTTTCGATAATCATCATAAAAAAAATTTACAATTCATTATTCAATCAATAAAACATGGGGAAATCATTCAAGAGAATTAGAATTGATTAGAATTGAAAAATGCAGTCGTCAATCTTATTTACATAAATATATATTTATATATATTTTGGTTTAATAATTAAAATTTGATCGAATTATATTGATTTATATAAAGAATTTAATGAATGACTGACTAGTCAACAAATGTTGATCAAAAAAATATACTCTGAATAAATATAAGGATATTCAAGGAATTTTAGATTTCTTGAGTAATAATATCTCATAAAAGTCAGTCAGTCAGTACGTCAGATGCAACGTAGAACTTCGTACGTAAGTACGAAGAGGTAGTAAAGGTATTAGAAGTAATCGAAAAGGTTAGGATTAGAAGATATTATTCAAGAAGTATGATTCAGTGAGAAAAGTTTAGAAAGTCAAAACTAGGGTGGTTGAAGAACCCAGAAGATTAGGATTTGAGAGAACACAGAGAATAAATGCACCGTTGCCATTGCAAACGATTTTGAGCCGTGTCATTCAAGGTCTCTAACCATCGATTATTATCATCTTGCGGACCCAAACCAGGTAGTCTACATCTACCAACATGACTCAGTCGACTTTTCAGTGACTTCATGGATTTCTGACATGTTTTTGTTTGGCCGCACCTAACTTTCTTCCAACCTATTCCTACACTACAAAACAAAGCTCGTCGAGGCAGTCGGTGGTTAGGCATACACAGCACATGTCCCAACCACCTCAAATGATGAAGTTTCATTACTTCATCCACTGATCTGCCATTCTTACCTAGCACCCGTTTCCTAATATCAGTGTTGCTTACTCGGGTGTCCCAGGATATACGATCAATGCTTCGAAGACACCTGTGATCGAAAACCAATAACTTACGAATGTCTTCTACTCTGACTGGCCATGTTTCACAGCCATAAATTAAGACGGAGCGAACTACACTACTAGACAGTACACTCGTCCTTTAGTCAGCAAACGGATATCTCGCCTTCGCCATAATTGACGCAGGTTGGCAAAAGCCAATCTAGCCTTGTGTTTCCATGCTGAGATTTCGTCAGTCACCAGGCTATCAGCACTGATGAGACTCCGCAGATAAGTGAAGCGGTCTACGCATTCGACTACTTCACTCCCAATCACTAGTTCAGGTGCCGATGCAACCCAATCTTGAAGCAACATTTTGCATTTCGAGGGTGAGAACCGCATCCCGAACATGCTTGCATTGTTGCTTAGGGTGGTCAGAAGACTCTGCATTTTGTCAGCGTCTTCACCAAGTAGGACAATTAAAAGTAGATAGTATAAGTTCATTTGTTAATATGTTTATTTCAATCTTACTCAAATCTTACTTGTATATAATTCATTCAGATTATAGATCAATGAAACACATTCTTCTAAGACATTTTCATCACCTTTTGCTTTTATTAGAACTAATTAAAATTGATGATAGTATGATAGTATGAACAAAATAATATTGAAAACTAACATTTTAACATATCAATAAAATGAATAAGCTAGTTTCATATTTCATATTGTGAGCTAACTAAAACTGATTACACACAAAAAATAATTGTTAGAAAATTTTTATATTTTAAAAACTAATCAAAATCAACCAGATGATGAATGTCAATCTACTGCCAAGTTTTTATGGTAGTATATACATGAGAGAGAGAAAGAGAGAGAGAGAGAGAAACGAAACTATAATTTGCAAACAAGAGATGTCAATTCTGTGAACATATTCAATGATGAAATCGATTTGCATGTCTTATATTTGTTGTGTAAACAGAATGAAGGAATTTGTAGTCGTCCAACTTTGAGGTGAACAGGCCGGATTTCGTACGGATCGATCGTGTACTGACCAAATTGTAACATGACGGTTCATTGTGGAACAATCAATCGAATGGAACTCACCATTCTACATCAACCTCATCGTCCACGCGAAAGCATTCGATAGCGTGGACAGGAAAACACTGTGGAGGCTTGTTCGACACTATGGTGTGCCTGAGAACATAGTTAACATCATACTGAATTCGTATGATGGATTCAACTGCAAAATCGCAGATGACCTGGCTCTTCTATTTCACACGCAACAACAAATGCAAGAGAAGACGACCTGTGTAGCCGCAGCCTCTGCAGCAGTAGGTCTCAACATACATAAAGGAAAAAGCAAATTTCTCCGATGCAACACAACATGCACCAAACAAATCACGCTTGATGGAGATGCCTTGGAGGACATTAACACCCTTACATTTCTGGGTAGCATAATCGACAACCAAGGTGGATCCGATGCAGATGTGAGGGCGCGGATTGGCAAAGCAAGGGCTGCATTTCTACAACTGAAAAATATCTGGTACTCCAAACAACTGCCAACTAAAACCAAAATCAGGATTTTCAATACAAATGTCAAGATAGTTCTACTATATGGAGGGGAAACTTGGAGAACTACTAAAGCCATCATCCAGAAGATACAAGTATTTATTAACAGTTGTCTACGCAAAATACTTCGGATTCGTTGGCCAGACACCATCAGCAACAACGCACTGTGGGAGAGAACAAACCATATTCCAGTGAAGGAGGAAATCAGGAAGAAGCGTTGGAAGTGGATAGAACACACATTGCGGAAAGCACCTAACCGCGTCATGTGACAAGCCCTCACTTGGAACCCTCAAGGTTAAAGGAAAAGAGGAAGGCCGAGGAACACATTACGCCGAAAAATAGAGAAAGATATGAGAAGAATGAACCAAAATTGGACAGAACTGGAGAGGGAAGCTCAGGACAGAGTTGGTTGGAAAAAAAACTGGTGGGTGGCCTATGCTCCTCTATTGGGGGTAACAGGCGAAAGTAAGTAAGTAAGTAAGTAAGTAAGTAAGTAAGTAATATTTGTTGTGTAAAACAAAAAATCTCATTGAGATTATGCAAGTAATTGGAGCATATCAATTTTAATGCTCGAATTGTTTAATCCATGTTATTATGTTGAATTGAAGCAAATCATGTGAATAGGTAAATTTATATATATATATATATATATATATATATATATATAGTTACATAAAATGATGCTTAGCATTACTATGATTGTTTAGGATATTTAATGAATAAAAAGCTATGTGTAATAATTAATTTCTTGTACAATCTACTGTACATCATAAGTATATATATATATATATATGCGGGAAATATTAGCAACCAAAACGTACTTGTGAAATCTTCAACAATGTCTTTCAGATCTTTCAGTAATTCATCACAAGGGGACAACAACATAACAAATATTCATTAACATCATTTGATTATCAGAGTACAAATCTCAAGAAAAAAAAAAACGGATTCTAATTATATGATCAGCATGGAGAATCACTGAATAATAAATAATTCATTGATATTGACATAGTCATGATAGTTAGTATCTTGTGTTATTGCTAGTCAAGTTTCTAAGAAGCATAGATAGATTGAATGTGAGTGAATAGTCTGTAAATGATCGCTTTCAATGAAACAATTATTCAGTATGTGAAAGAAATAAATGTTCTATTTCTTCTAATGATTTTCATAACAGACAATTGATTTATGTACTCTGAGTATGCAGTTTCACAATGCTAATTATGTATTTTACAGATAACTTTGGAATATTCTGTTTTAAGATCATATATATATATATATATATATATATATATATATATATATTTGAAAGAGATATGATGTATTGTATGAAGTATAGTCAAACATTTTTCAGGTGTATGTACTACTGTGGTGTGTGCTACTTATACGAACGATATAAGTAGTATAAGAAATGACATGAAAGAAGAACTCTCACGGTAATAATATGATATGATAATATGCTTGTTGAAAAGCGTTGAAAAGCCACTTCCCATATACCCTGATTAGAACGTGATGAACTGACACACGGTCGACTGGTTTTCCGGTGAGCAGATGCATATCACATCGACATATTGTATGTGAACAATTAAATCTACTGCTTAGAATTCAACTGCTACAAATCGACACCAAACTATGAGTCATCCATCAAGTTGTGTCTGTCATGATACAGATGAACAGGGATGAGGAAATATGGCCAACCTTGATGAACAGCACTTCAAGTAATCAGTTTCGATGACAGTTCGCCATAGGCTCTCCTTCGACCAATGATGTTCATGTTTGACGAGAATGAATTTCACCAATAATCAACAAAGTGGATGATTAATAGTGAAAGTAAATAAAAAGTAAATTCAAGCAATGTTAAAAAAAATCTTTTGTTTCCTCATACCTTGTATATGAATTAAGCTAGCTAAAGCGACATTCCGTTCAGTTGAACATTGGACATCTAACAATTGCAAATTGTTAATTAGTTAATGATAACATTTCACTTACAATCATCAATGGTCTTATTTTCAATTGCTAGCTCCTGGTTAATTGTATCTAAATGAAAATACGGAAAAACACACACAGGAGGATCAAGAAACAGATCAGAAGGGGGGGGGAGGCAATCAAAACACAAGGTGCAAACAACGACAGGTCAAACGAAGGTCAACAGCAACCAATCAAGTCATACTACGTGCAGGAGAAGAGAAATTCGAATACTCTTCACTTTGTCTATCTGAAGTTTGTGCTGCTGACGATGATGTTGTTGTTCAGAAGAAGAAGAACAATAAGGAAAACTCCACAACCAAAATAACATCCAGCTCAGTGAAACGAAACATCACCACATTCTTTAACTAAAAACTTGCTGTTCCATTTTTCATTTTATAATAGTATTAAATGAATAATAGATTGGAATTGATCATTGTTGATTAAATGATTGAATGATTTTTTCTAATATCAATGCATATTTCACATTATTATTTGACTTAAAATGTTGAAATTTCTATCGTGTGTGTGTGTGTGTATCTATGATCATATTATACATTTCTTTGATGTTCACTATTACCCCGAACACATGGAAAATGTAATGAAGGAATAAAAACCAGTTAGTGAAAAAGATATCTATCTAGTTATCCACACATCTATCTATCTATCTATCTATCTATCTATCCACACATCTATCTATCTATCCACACATCTATCTATCCACACTATATATATTAAAAATAAAACAGTAGTTACTTGTATCATTGTTTACTATCAATTTGTCCTTTTCTACTATTTGTAAATATGCGATTTCATTCGCTAGATAGTTAAATGGAAATAGGTCAGTGAAATATACAAAGATTCATTATACAATAGATAAATGTATAATAATAATAGTCATATGATTTATTGCGTTTACGTTTGGAGTCCTCTGTATTTTCTTTCAATTCTTTGAACATGATGGACAGCATATCTGAAAGAAGAAATAAGACAATAGTTTTGGTGAAAATTTCTTCAAATAGTTAGGTTGTCAGTGAAATAATAATAAGACAGTTAGTTATGCATAGAAGAAACCATTGAATGCGCAGGACGGCCGTTTGGTCCTGATATTGGACTATTCGTCAGTAGCAGTGCGCATCCACGATTCCTGCACCCCACAGGATTCGAACCCAGGACCTTCGGCACTGTGCGCGCACGCCCTAACCGTTAGACCACTGAACCGGTGGCGTTCAACGGTGTTAATGTCTAACTTGATCATGTTCATGGAGTTGCGCAACCTCATACCCTGTATACATCCGAACAAGTTTGAACTTCACTGGTCACGACTTCCCACTAGAACTCGGAGAAGATTCCTCACCAAGTTAGTCATTAGTGGACACATGTAATTGCATTGCAGGGTTGTTGTGAAGAATGTTAAGTTTTATTTGTAACCATGAATCGATCAATGTTAGACCATGACCATTAGAAACCCACAAGCACTGAAGGACGGCCGTTTCGTCCTGGTATGGGACTCATCAGCAGTGGTCTAACATTGATCGATTCATGATTACAAATAAAAAAACTTAACAATCTTCACAACAACACCGCAATGCAATTTCAATTATGCTATTATTTATTATTTTGCATATTTTTCTGCACACAATAAAAAAAAATAAATATACTAACACTTACCATCTTGTATGGATAAATGAATAAGTAAGAAAAAGATATTCACGTAAAACAAAACCAATTTGAAAATCATTTTGATACAAAAACCAACTTATTTATTGCCTTCTGAATTTATAGTTTCTCATTTTTTGATGTGCACACACCTGATTGGTCGAAATGAGGTTTGATAATACAAAGTGTAAATGAAATTGAATTATCCAATGTGCAAAAGAATGATAACTTATCCAATGAATATCATGTGTGATATTCATTGGTTACATTTTGAAAGAGAGAAGTCGAATGAAGACTGATTACTATGATGATACAAGTGGTTTAAGAATAAATATAAAAAAAGAAGACTGATATTAGTCATATTCAATATTAAAAAAAAAGGAATGTTTTCCGACGAAAATGTCATAGAGATCTTATCAAATCGATCTGTTGTCAACAGATTAATTGAACTGAGCTAGTAAAAGAGAATGTACGCACAATTTCCAAATGACAGAAAAGTTGGAAATGTTTCTGATAGTTCAAGTGATTAGGTGATAATAAGAAAAATTATTTAAGGAAACGTTTCGCAAGGATAATAAATAACAATTGGACACATAAATAATCAGCCTAAACAAGAGAGACTGAAAATGCAAAACTAGAAGAAAATAGAAATTAAAAAAAAAGGACCGAAAAAAAGGTGTGATGAAGAGATAAATGACGGCTCAGTGATAAGTAGAATCTTTACAAATTGTTGGTAATATTTTGACTGTAAGGACTTAGGAACAATGTGAAGTTTTCGATGTTTCAGAAATAAATGTTCTAAGAGGAGAAGAATTTCCAATTTTACTCTCTTTCTAGTGGAAATCCAGACACTTACAAGAATAAGTAAACACTTTTGATTCTGTTGAAAGAAAACTGAGACAGCGTGTTGTGAACTGTGAACGTGCATGTTTATTGGTACTTACTGTTTGTCGTCAACAGACAATTACGATAACTAACTCACAATGCACGAGGTTCGCAATATGGAATTTTGTGCCGGAAAGATGTAAATTCAATCATGATTGAGAACTACAAGGCCGTGCGTCACTTCATCGGGAACTGCATCAGTGATAGAAGGCAAAGTCACAATTCCCGTGCTTTGCTGAGCAGCATCAGCTTCGATCTTAGACGGTAAAGAAAACACCGAAAACGGAAACGACAGTGCCGATTCATTCCAAACCAACGCACAATTCCCGAGCCTTGCCGCACTTTCGATTGATAGTATAACCCTTTAAAATAAAGGACCATTGATGATCATACTTGATAAACTGTCAGCAAATATCATTCATCAACAGTTTTCGTAATCAGAATATTATCACAAGCTATGTTTGAATTTCAAAAACATGATGATAGAAGTGTAGATTCGAAATATCTAACAAGAATGGTTGTGGTGATTAGATGAAAGGAAAAGCCGAAATAAATCACTTCATTATTTCTGTCTGTTGGCCTCAGAAACTGAAGGATATGGATTGTTTGGATGTGTTCAACTAGAGACAGTAGTGGACATTTATTGTCTCTCTTAGACAATAGAAAAAATATCTCATCTCCTTGACAACAACAAAGGACATTTTTCGTTAAAAGCAAAATATCAGACATTTGGATGTTGAGAATGTTGGCGACCTGAATGAAGAAATAGTTAAGGATTCATTTGTCTGTTGACCTCAATAGGTGAATGAATTGAAATAACGCAATGTAGTTTTGGTTTGCTGTTATTCTGTCGACTGTTTCTAATCTTTCTATATTTCAACCTTCATTTCGGAGTTATCAACAAAGTCAATAATGGAACACTATTTATTCGAATATCAAAACTAACGAGTATTACAGAGTAAACAATAGGTGCATGCTATAAACTAATTCGCGTATGAATACGTCGAAGCTTCGGATTCTCCTAGGCATCGATAAAACAGTCTTCATTACTTAGAGCTGCGAAATGAATCTAAAGCTACACATAATCTCAATAAAATCATCGTACACGTTCCTAATCGGTAGTCACTGGTACAAGATTGGAAACCTGACTGTCGTAACTATTTCCTCCGATCTTTGACTGATAGATCGCGCGCAATTTTCACTGTTTCACATACAGCGCATGGAATTAGGAGCATTTGCACTAGGTTCACCATAAGAACTATGATTACTACAATAGGCATAATGCTTATTGTTAACTTTTGTAAATGAAACTGCTTTGCTGTGGAAATGTTTTCCCTTCAAAATAGTCGATATTGCAAATGATGAAATGTTATTAACTTGTTACGCAGGGATGCTGCTGGATTATGATCAATTCAGCGTTTATGAATAAACGAATGATAATAACTATCTGATGAGATAGTGACGATGATATTGATGAGTTGAAAATGGAATCCCTGATGATTTGTGGATGAGTGCTCGTCATTTCCGCAGAGTGAATCAACAAATAGCCGGTACACTCCGTCACGAATTTCTCTATTTGAGCTTCTGAAAGGAATATGATTGGAGCTTATTTGTGAACTCTTGAATGAGGAATTCGTCAATTCCACTCAGCTGCTTCTTTTGTCGTCAGCGAATTCGAGGATTCTCAATATTAACATTTTCTGTCAACCCTCACGATTCATTGAGCACGCACAAGCCCTCATACTTGAGATGGTTATCATATGAATTTATGAGGAATGCATTTTGGAATGCTTCGCCAGTAATCCAGATGACTGATACGTGATTCCACGTCAAGCTTTAAAGCAAGAACTTGAAATCCCTTTCTTCGTAAACTAATTCAAATGCGTTCCGGTTTATCTATATGAATATTTATTTCCAGGGATTATCAATTGGGCCTGTGAACTAGAGCATTTCAACCAATTGTAATATCGATTTTTGATTGACTCTACTGCAACATTTAAAAGCAAACATTCCGTTTCTATCCAAAAACGTATTTCAACTTGCCACATATTTAAAAATGTAATTTTTAGGCTACCTTTGATCCCAAAACTGCAAAACAGAAGTCTTGGTAAGGGAAGAAAGTATATTCTACAACATTCTGCAATCACACAATACAATCAAGCACACAACTCTCGTTTATTTATACATCATAGATACACACGCAAAACAGTCAGGAAAATAGCAAGATTACCATTCAAATGCTTGGTACTCACTGACTTTCATTTTTGCATCGAAATGTTTTTCATACATTTTCTATGATATTCATCACACAAGGTGAAGACACAAAGTTCAGTCAGATAATCAACACTTGATTGTTAAGTGATATATACAAATGTTTCTTTTCGGGTTGATCAATTCCGTCATGCGTTATTTATTTGTGGATATGAAGCCGTGCACTGTATGAAGTCTAGGAAGCATTGAATACAGACAACCGTAGAAGTGACAAGCTCACATGTTGCAGATATTTCGTGAGCTCGAGTCTGAATATACCGCAACATATCAATAATTGTTGAACCTGACGTCCAACATAAGTCAGTACATTTACTGCCTATTGTTCGGCTGCAAGCACTTTTAAAAGCAGCTGCTCACCACTGTTCATTTATAACGAACCCGTATTAAGTATAGCCAAGTAACCTGGAAAGCAGGAATATTCATTTCTTACTATTGGACATATCTGAAGCGGGATGAGCTGGGTGTAGCATGGGCAGATTTATTCTGATTAGGGGGCTGCTGTACCAACTGTACTTCAGATCGTCTTGAACTAACACTCTGCACTACAGTTGAGTTTCGTCGTAAGATAATGAGACGTTGGTACTCATAAGCCATGCCAAAAAGGATGAGCTTCGGATCTTGCTCTAACCGACATAGTAGACTTGTTCTAATGTCACTGAACTTAAGAGACTGGAGGCTGCAAATGGGAATAAGGGCTTTAAAATGGTCTTTCGACAAAGATTTCAACAGAAAGCGTTCGCGTCAACAGTTGACGATGCTCACCTGAGTCAGTAAATCATTGTCTTTGTTCATAGCTAGCTTCAAACATCGTGAATAGGTATTAAACAGTGACGAGTTGTCGACAAAGCGTTGGCTCAATGTCTGAACTGTCTCAGAAAACGATCGATCTCGTGAGTTCAAAGGCAGGATTCAATTGCGGTACTTGTTGAGCTTACTAGCACCCAACTTTCGAAGTAGAAGTCGAACCTTCCAAGCATCATCTTGTTTGGTGAAATCAAATTTAAATAAATCTTCAAAACGCTGGAACCACGTATTAAAAGTTCCATTGGAATTAGGAACATAATGAAATTCAGTTATGCTATTTGCAATTCGGGTTTGGCAAAATCAGTGGTTTCAAAAATACCGTCGTCAAACGTACTGTTCGTAACTAGGTGCGCCCGAAGCTATTACGATTTCACCTGAATCGATAAACGTAAACGAGACAATTACCAACATGCAGGTGGGCTACTTTCGATCCCAAAACTGTAAAACAGAAGTCTTGGTAAGGGAAGAAAGTATATTCTACAACATTCTGCAATCACACAATACAATCAAGCACACAACTCTCGTTTATTTATACATCATAGATACACACGCAAAACAGTCAGGAAAATAGCAAGATTACCATTCAAATGCTTGGTACTCACTGACTTTCATTTTTGCATCGAAATGTTTTTCATACATTTTCTATGATATTCATCACACAAGGTGAAGACACAAAGTTCAGTCAGATAATCAACACTTGATTGTTAAGTGATATATACAAATGTTTCTTTTCGGGTTGATCAATTCCGTCATGCGTTATTTATTTGTGGATATGAAGCCGTGCACTGTATGAAGTCTAGGAAGCATTGAATACAGACAACCGTAGAAGTGACAAGCTCACATGTTGCAGATATTTCGTGAGCTCGAGTCTGAATATACCGCAAAATATCAATAATTGTTGAACCTGACGTCCAACATAAGTCAGTACATTTACTGCCTATTGTTCGGCTGCAAGCACTTTTAAAAGCAGCTGCTCACCACTGTTCATTTATAACGAACCCGTATTAAGTATAGCCAAGTAACCTGGAAAGCCTGTAAAATGGAACGTGCAGAAATAGTTTCTCGACAGGATATTCTGTACTTTTTCTAGCCAGCTGTCTATCGTTATTATATTTTGCAAGT